TTAATCGCCACAGTAACAGTACTTTAAGGAAAAAGACACTGGTCCCCCGTGTTCTCCACGCCCCCCCAGCGGTGCCCCACTTTGCTACATCAAAGCCACCACCAAAACCTCAGAGCCAGCGCGCGCCCCAGAAGCTGGCAACAAGCGCGTGGTCTCGCGTTAAGCCCCCCTTGTCAGCCGGAGAAACTGAGGCACAGGGCTGCCGGGGCGCGCGGGCGTGGGGGGGGACCCCGAGTCCCCATCGCGCTGGGGCTCGGCCCCACCCCGCGCCCCGCTCTGGAATGGGCGGGTTTGGGGCGCAGGGGTACAGGCTGACCCTCGCCCTCGGACGGCTCCCCCCCTGGGCAATGCCGGCCCCCACCGAGCTGCTCCCGGAAAAAAAAAAAAAATTCTGGCTTGTCCCCCGCGGCTGCAGCCCTGGGCCTGCCGGCCTTTCGGGCTGGTGGCCCCGCCAAGGAGCAGCCCCGCGGCCGCAGCCCCTCGCCGCCCCGAATCCCGTGACTCGCAGTTTTAGTGCCCAGAGGCCCCAGGTGAGCTGATGTTGCTCAGGTGCGAGCTTTGAAACAAAAGTCAGGGGCGACTGGAGAGGCAGGAAGGCTGCTGTTGATCTGGGCAACAGCCAAGCAGGTGCCGGTGACAGCGTGTCAGAGACAGCGCCACGTGAAAAATTCCTGCAAGGCTAGTAGCGGGAGGTTTGATCAATTTGTTTATTTATTTTTTATTTTATTTATTTTTTTTAATCTCTTTATTGATTTCAGAGAGAGGAAAGGAGAAGGAGAGAGAGAGAGAGAAACATCAGTGATGAGAGAGTCATTGATCGGCTGCCTCCTGCACGCCCCGGACTGGGGATGACTGACTGGGGATGGAGCCCGAAACCCGGGCATGTGCCCTGACCAGGAATCGAACCCCGATCGCCTGGATCCTAGGTCGACGCTCAACCACTGAGCCACGCCAGCTGGGCTACATGATTTCTAATAGGAAACAGTGATTTGGTTTTCGAACAAATCGCCTCTGGAACAGACGTCCGGAACGCATTGAGTTCGAGAGCCGAGGTTCCACTGGCACTGCCTGCTCTCTGCTGTTCACGTCACCACTGGCCCAGGGTCGGGCGCTCAGGCTCTGGACTCCCTGACCCCTCTATTCCAGTAAAGTCAATGGGAGTCTGGGCAGGGCCAGCTTCCCAGATTTTCCTGCGTGCTGGTGGTCACCCGTATCCGCTTTTGAGCACCTGCTTGACCTTCCCCGCTGGCCTCCTGCTGCTACCCAGTCATGCTCCCGTAAAGCGCACAGCCCTCCGGAGTTGCCTCTTATCTCCAGCTGCTTCTCTCCTGAACCCACCACTCCAATCAGATTTCCACCTAACCCCTCCTCCGAGGCTCTTTATCAAAGTAATCCTTGGCCCCGATGTTGCTAAATCCAGTGCTCAGAGCTCGGCCCCATCTCTTCCTTGAACTGTCAGCAGCAGGTGGCCCAGCTGACTGCTCCCCTCCTGGATACACAGTCTTCACTTGGCTGGAATGGATCCTGCTCTGCAGCTCCTTCTTCTTGGAGGCACCTCTGTCTACCCCGCCCCTGGGTGATTTCCTGGGGTCATGTGGTTTCACAAACAACCATTTCTCCTGACCTTTACAAAGCTCACATCTCCAGCCTGAACATTGCCCTGGGACTCCAAACCCCTTTACCTGTTTGCCAGTTGGGTGTGTTACAAATCCCCTGAAACTCAACATGTCCAACGGCACTCTCAGTCTTCCCCCATAAAACCTGCTCTTCACCCAGCCACTTTGTCCGGCATGAGAACTCAGGGTACACACTTGGTGGACTGTTGTCTGTGGGTCCGCCTTTGGCCAACTCCAAGCCGGGGCTATTGTTGCTGCTCAGAGACTCCTTTCAATGCTTCCCACTTTGAAGCTGCTTGGGATGAAGGTTGACCTCAGGGCAGTGGGTGTATCAGTTAGGATTAGACTCGGCTTTGTGGAAGGAAAAATCCCAGCATCATAGTGGCCCCATTAAGATTATTAATGTTTCCATAAAGGAGATCTGTGAGGAGGCGATCCTGGGAGGTATGGCAGCCCCAAAGGTCATCAGGGACCTGGGCTCTTCTAGCTTGCTCATGGGCCATCTTTAACATGTTTTCTCACAGTGCAGGATGGCTGCCTAAGTTCCAGCCATCACCACCTGAGTCCAAGCAGCAGGATGGAAAAGAAGAGAAGGGTGTGACCCTCCCTTACATGGAGACTTATCCATAAGTCTCACACCCTGTATGGCTGCCAGGGAGGCTGGAAAATGCTCAATTAAAAATCAGGGTTTTGTTTACTCAGGAGGAAAGAGAGAGTGTAGATTGAAAGACAACCAGCAAAACCTGCCACGTCGGCCCGTGCTTTAAGCACAAGCCATCAGAGCATGACTTGGCAGAAATCCTTAGGAGACTAGCTTTAATCAGAATTAAAAGCCAGGAAAAGAATCTATTTTAATTAAGACACATTTGGGATCTATGTAAATGAAGCCTCTCTGGTGGTTGAGTGTTGAGCTAGTTTGTGTGGAGTAGAATTTAAATCTCATTCCTGTCGATAAAGGATTTGCTAAGAAAAGAGAAGAGTTGGCCCAGCCCACCTTTGGAGTTTCCTTAAATCTGAGATAGTCAAGTCCTGATTAGTGAAGTTAAAATCAATACCAAAAAATCGGTAAGCTTGGGAATTAAATCCCACAGGGATGGCTTCACGCCGTTGAAATAAAGCTGAGCCCTGACCGGGTGGCTCAGTTGGTTGCAGCATCCTCCTGTTCACCAAAAGGCTGCGCGGGTTCGATCCCCAGTCAGGGCACACGTGGGTTGGACACCTGGTCAGGGTGCATACAGGAGGCAACACGTCGGTATTTCTCTCTCTCTCAGTCTCTCTTTTTCCCTTCCTTTCTCTCTCAAATCAATGAACATGTCCTGGGATGACAGTTACAGAAAATAAAATAAAATTTAAAAATAAATAAATAAAGCCGAGGTGCTGAAAGCATGCGGCCGAGTTGGGTGAACATTAATACCTATTTCCTACCCTAAAGATATATTTTGGCTAAGCCTTTGGCTCAGAGACTCCTGGAGTGTCTGGGATCATTTCCCACTTAGGAGTGACCTGAACTGAGCCTGGGTTCTACAGAGGGGAAAGGGACGGTGGCCACTGCCAGCTATGTACCCTCTCTGGGTCTTGCTCCCCCCCTCATCTTTAAAATGGGAGTGTCAAAAAACACAACAAAGAAGACAAATAAATAAAATGGGGGTGTCGAACCTGGTGACCTGAGAGTCTTCTTGCCCCAGCCTTCTGTGACTAGGTCGCACATCCCACTGGGCAGGCCCTGCTGAGTAACCAGGATCTAACCCTGGGCTGAGGGGCGCCTAGAGGTCGGCTCTCGAGGTACCTCCACTCTTTGGCCTGGCATCTCCCAGGGGCCATCCCCCCCGGTGCACAGCTGCAGGGTCTGGGGAGCACGTCGGGGTAGCCTGGCCCCAGGCAACCGAGGATGCAGGGACCCAGTCTAAGAAGTGGCCCGGGGTTACCCTGGTCCCCTCTTCCATTCAGCACTCCTCACCCGGCTGCCCTGGGCTTTCTGCCCCTGTCTGGTGAGCGTCCTGCGCCACCTCTGCCACCCGCTGAGCTGGCAGCCGGAGGTCATGGAGGTTGTGACCTGTACCGTTTGCGTTTAGGGTCCCTTTCCCGGAGGATGGCCTACTATGGAAAATGCATCGAAACGGTGATTGAGCAGCTGGACCGATTTAAGCCGGGGAAGGACAGTCCTGAGCAGTTCCTGGAGGCTGCGGCCACCTCCCTGCAGGTAGAGTCCGAGGGGTGCTTCAGGGCTCTCTCAGGTGCCATTTACCTGCTGGGAAACAGCATCAGATTTCTTCTTGACACAAGAAGATTCCTAGTCCCCAAACGCTGGCTGTCCTAGACTTCACTCTGGGTCACCATAGTGGCTGAGAGAGTTTTCACGGGCACCCTGGAGGGACAGACCCCCCCAGCTTTGCCCTGGGAGGCATTCCTGGTACCCAGAATGTGCACCAGGCTACGTCCTCACACCATCCCCAGCTGGAACAGACAAGAGTCAGCCTCGAGGGCACCTCTTCTCCCGCCTCTGCTCCACTCCCCAGGGCGCGGCTGTGCACCACAGCCAGCTGGCCCTTGGCCACAGCTCCTGCTGTCCTGTGTTTATCCCCTAACTGGCCAGGCAGTGAGGCCTCGAAGCAATGAGGGACCCGCCCTCGGGGTGGCCCTCCAGCTCAGGCCCTGGTTCCCACCCCGGGGGAGAGGGGGTCCCTGCCCTTTCCCCCGCCTCCGTGGCCCATTTCAAATCCACATGGAGACTGCTGTCCTCTCAGGTCTGTCCTCGCTCTGGCTCCATCCGCCACCTCAGCTGCAGCCCTTGGAGACCTCCTGTCACCAGTCCTTCTGTCTGTCCATTAGCCATGGTTGAGGGAGGGGGGCGGGTGCCTGCATTGCAGGGGTTCCGCCTCAGGCCTTGGGGGTGTGGCCGTCGGATGAAGCACACAGGGGAGGCCCCTAGGACAGCTCCAGGATTGTCACAGGGCCCGTGCCTGCCTGCCGGTCACTACCGCCAGCTGGGGCTGTTGTGGCAAATGTGTTAATGAAGGTGTTTTCCTTTCATTGCCAGCTGCAGCCTGGCTGTTACTTTTTCTGACAGGGCCTGTGAGAGCTTGTGGTCCCCAGGGAGGGGACCCCCACAGCCCCTTACCTGCTCAGGGGTGACCTCTGCTGTGCCCTCCTGGGGTGGGGCCCTGTGGTGTAGCAGCAGAAAGCCTTGGGGGGACAGGGCAGGTGGTCACTGTCCCATGGGAGGGGCGAAGGCCCTGGGCGTGCACATGAGGGCTGGAGGGGTTCCAGGACCTGCGAAGAGAAGCTTGAGACTCTGCCCCAGTTCAGGCTGGGGGTGCCTTCTGCACTCCCTTCTCAAGCTCTTTCCCTGAGACCAGAGCAGTTTGGGAAAGTGATGAAAACAGCCAAGGGCCAGGCCCCACCACACCCTTCTCTCCTGAGGCTAAGAGGCCCAACGCCCCTGTGCAGCGCAGGGCATCTCATCCCGCCCGCAGCCACCCCTGGCTGCTCCCTCTGGCTGCGCTCTCAGTCCCCCGGCTGTGGCCTCACCCCCCAGGTACCCCATCAACCACTACTTGCTGCCATTGCTCCGTCAGCTGCCCCCTCCTCCCTGCTGCTCAGGCAAGAGCAGTAAAGTTAGTGTTTTTATTTCATACAGTGACAGAAAGTTGTGCTGTTACTACAAATCGTGTGGGGGACTTTTCCCCCCATGACCAACAGATTATTTTTTCACATGTGTGTATATGTATATGTATATATATTTTTTATTGATTTCAGAGAGAGGAAGGGAGAGGGAGAGAGAGAGAAACATCAATGATGAGAGAGTCATTGATCGGCTGCCTCCTGCAGGCCCCCTGCTGGGGTCCAGCCTGCAACCCGGCATGTGCTGTGACCAGGAATTGAACCGCGATCTCCTGGATCCTAGGTCAATGCTCAGCCACTGAGCCAAGCCAGCTGGGCGACCAATGGATTATTAATGGTAGATGCATCCTAGCTGTCACCTGGCATGATGGCGTTTGCCCCCGTCTAGTGTGGGGGGGCAACTCTGGAGGGCACTGTGCTCACACAGGCGGAGAGGCAGCTCCTTTGTCAGATGTGCTGGCCCCCCCGGCCCTCTTATGGGACTTCCCTAGGGGATAGGCCCAGTGACCCTTCCCAGAGAACACGGGATGGATCGGAAAGGAACCCATCACCCCGAGTGCGTATGGGGTCCCTGAGACGTGGAAGTGGACCCTCCAGATGCTGGTCTTCCCGGTGGTTTTAGAGCAACGCTGAGCACTGGGCTGGGGCCTGGAGCTGGAGAAGGGGGCAGGGTGGTGGGGGGCAGGGGGCACCAGCAACAAGGCACACTGCCAGCAAGCAACCTGGGCTACCCGAAACCTGGGTTCTCCTGCGCAGCCCTGGCCAGGCCCTCTGGAACCGAGTCCCCTGCATCTCCCGCATTCATGTCTCGCTCTCTGTCCTCAGCTGCCCCCTCCTCCCTGCTGCTCAGGCAAAAACAGCAAAGTTAGTGTTTTTATTTCATACGGTGACAGAAAGTTGTGCTGGGAGGAACAGGAATGAGGGGAAGGAACAGGAATGAGGGGAAACAGGTATCTCATTAGGGCACGACTAGGGGGACATGAGAGTGTCCTTAATGGGATGGGTCCCGGGGGTGTCACTCCCTGGAGGCTGCTCCGGCGCCTGCCCCACGCTCCCAGAGCCCCTCCAAGCTGGCCCCACGACAGCTCAGCGCCAGGGCCAACAGGCCGGGCTTAGGAACATCCGGAGAGCGGACAGAGGAGGGGCTGCGCTAGACACAGCAGCCAGCCTGGGGCTGCCACTGAGTCCGTGGGGTCTGAGCAGGACTCAGAGAAGGGTCTGGCTTTGAGAGAGATTCCGGGGGGGCAGGGGATGGGCGGGTGGAGAAGGGGACCCCAGGCAGAGGGACCGGAGTCCTGACCTGTGGCCAAGAGTGAGTCATTGGTCGAGGCACCATGTGGGCAGGGAGGCCAGAGAGGGCCTGAGTGTGCACCACCTCGAGCCCCGGAACTGGGAGATCTGCACCCCTCAGAAAACCGTGAGCGAAGGCAGGTGGGCAGGTGAGTTCTGGGCAGGGGAACAGGAGGCCACCACCAACTAGCTGGCAGAGAGGTGGCCAGCAGCTGTCAGTCGGCCAGTGCCGGGGTGAGGCAGGGGTGGGGAAAGGCTCAACTCAGCCCCCAGCCAGAAGGGAGGGCAGGGAGGGCAGAGCAAAAGGGAGGGGGCTCAGGGTCGCATCACTAAACCTGGAGGCCCCTTGGGCGGCTGCAGCCCTCTGGCCTCAGTCACAGGCTGGCCCGGAATTAGGAGCCGGCTCCAGTACAGGGGCACAATTTTGGCCATTCCCTGCCTCCTCCCAGCCCAGCCCAGCCCAGCCCAGCCCGAAGGACCTGGTTGGCACCCTCTGACCCAAGACATCCCCAGGCCTCAGTCTCGTCTCTGTGACCTGTGGGGCTGGTCTCCCCCAGTGGCGTGGACCTGGCCATGGGTCCAGCCTGGCACGTGGGCCAGGGTGGCATTTACTGCTTGGCTCTGTGTCTCCCAGGACCCCGGGCCCAGTACAGCCCTGCCTGACTGCCGCGCCTGGGGGCTGATGGCGTCAGGACCGGCCTGACCTCATTAAAAACACTCACCCTTCCCAAACAGAGACGTGGTGAGTGGAGGTTGTCTGGGCCTCGCAGGCAGAGCTGCTGTCAGCAGGCGTCCTGCACAGTCACGCAGCTCCGGGCCGAGCTGACTCGGCGCCGTCCACGCCAGCCCTGCTGACGCGCTGCTTTCTGATGGGCCCCCTCCCCCCCGCCTGCCTCTGACAAAGTGGAGTAAGCTCAAAGCGGGGCCTGGAGCCGGTGCCCTCCATTGTGGGCTCAGCCCAGGGGTTGGGGGAACCTGAGAGGGAAACTGAGGCAGAAGCCTGGTTGCTGAGACCAGAGCCAACTCAGAGCAGGACTCCCACATCCTCCCAGGGGGGGCAGGGTGGCCCAATCCCTGCCTGGTGAGCACCCCGCTGGCATTTTAACAGGGAAGGGGAGATCAGCCAGCAGGGTGTGCCGCTGGGCGAGGGTCTGGGCAGTGTCTGAGGGGAGGGGTGGGCAGATGCGCCCCAGGTCAGGTGGCATCTGAGCAAAGACCTGAGGGAGTGGGGAGCGAGCGTGCGGGGAAGAGCATTGCAGGCAGAAGGAACAGCCTGCGCGGAGGCCCTGATGGGCATCCATGTGTTGGAGAAAGAGAGGGGGGTCAGTGTAACTGGAGTGGACCTGGGATGGCCTGGGGACTCAGGAAACTGGGCCAGACCACAGAGGGCCTCTCGCTGGCTATCATAGGGACTCCTTCTGGAACGGTCTGAGGGAGGAAGGACATGCCGACTGCACGGGCTCTCTCCCTTCCTCTTTCTAAAACTCAGTGAAATTTACCATTTTAACCAGTCAGGCGCCCAAGTCAGTGGCATCAGGCACATTCACACTGTCCTGCAACCGCCACCACCATCATCTCCAGAATTTTCCATCTCCCTGAACTGACACTTCATCGCCATCCCCGCCCTGGCCCCTGGGATCCTGCGCCTGCTTTTTGTCCTGGGAAGGTGACCCCCTGGGACCTCATGCAAGTGGGATCACACAGTGCCGCCCCTGCTGGGTTCTTCTTTTTCATGCTGGCTGTTTTCTGTGCTTATTTCTGCCCTTGCCCCCACCCTCTGTCACTACCCAGGAGAACCTGTGGGACCGATTCCTGGGGCTGCACCCCCGGTCCGCATTGCCGCCTGGGAGGGGCGCCAGCGGAGCTCATCCCCAGCCTCGTGGGGTGCCTGCCCCCCACCCGCCCCTGCTCCGTGTTCTCAGCCCCCTGGGCCCGCGCCCACACCTGGAAGCCACGCCCCCTCCCAGCCCGTCTCTCTTCCAGACCCTGAGCCCCCAGAAGCAGGCGTTCATTTTGGAGGTGCTGTCCGGGTGCCTCGAGTACCGGAAGCTGCTGACCATCGTGGTGGACGCCTTCTACATGCGGGACGGCCGCCTCTGCCTGTGGGCGGACTACAGCCTCTTCCTGGGTGAGCGCTCAGGCTCCGCAGCACAGCGGTCACAGCCCTCGCCGCCCTCAGGCCCCGGTCGCCTGCCAGTGCGTGGACCAGGGTCTGCCTTAGGGGTGCGGAGACAGGCTCCAGGGGAGCCACAGGCCAGGTTCCAGGGGACAGACCTGGGGCCCTGCTGCCCACATGCAGAGCCTGCAGCCGGAGGGAAGCCCGGCCTGGCTGAGCGGGAATGCCCCAGAAAACCAGCCCAGCGACTGTCGCACCCTGAAGACTGTGGGCTGGCCAGCCTGATGGCCACAGCCTGGGTTGTCCCGAGGGGGGTTAAATGGGACATGCCTCTGCCCAGGCCTGCAGAATGCCTGCTCTCATGGGGTGTGGTGACCACTGCGTCTGGGGTACCTCTGTCCGGGAAGGGTGGGCTGGGGACGGCAGGTGCTCAGACGCCAAGCTGGGTGGCCTGATGCTGGGCCCAGTGCTGGGCCCAGTGCTCCCTGCTCAGCGCAGACTCCACAGACAGTGCGTCCAGGCCGCACACCTCGCAGGCAGTTGACGAACAGGCCCGACTTCTGAGAACCTCCCCTCCCCCAGCGAGTGGGAGTTACAGTTGCCTTGAGGCGAAGCAATCTCTCAGAGTTAGCAATCTGAATCCAAAGAGGTTTTACTTTTAAGGAGCCTTAGGGATTTCTGAGAATTTACCCAATGACATAATACACGAGGAAGTGCTTTGAAACCACAGAACATCCCATCATCCCATCGTCCGAGATGATGTCATCAGTGTTGCTGTGTCCTGGTACAATTTTTGCCCGGGGCACGTACCCTGACGGTGCCTCTGGCTGACTCCCCAAGGCCAAGCCCCAGCACCCCCTCTGCGGATGTGCCCTTCTCCCATGCACTGCCCTGTCTCCCCAGTGACCTGCTACCTGGCCACCTTCCAGCTGGAGGAGCTTGGCTTCCAGCTCTTCTGTAAAATCGTCAAGTCCCAGCCGGCTGACAAGATGCGCCAGGTGAGCCAGCACCAGGTTCTCCTTAGGCCCATGGGCAGAGGTCTGTCCCATTGGCACTGACCTCTCACCTTCCCGGCTCATTTTTTTATGTTTTGTTAATTCTCGCCTGAGGGTATATTTTTTCCATTGATTTTTAGAGAGAGTGGGGGGGGGGCGGGGAGAGAGAGAGACATCAATGTGAGAGAGACATCTATCAGTTGCCTCCCGCACGAGCCCCAGCCGGGGCGGGGATGAACCCGCAACCTAGGTATGTGCCCTTGACCGGAAATCAAACCTGGGACCCTTCGGTGCGCAGGCCAGTGTTCTACCACTGAGCCACACCAGCCATGGCCTTCCTGGCTCATTTTATCGAGTGAAAGTGCTGGATTTGCTCTGTGTTTGGACAAGGGCTGGGGCCTGACCTTTTCCCCAGCTCTGCAGGGGACCACCTGGTGGGACTACAGCCAGCCCAGCCCAGGGAAGCGTGCCCCCAGCTCCCTGAGGTGGGGGACTCCCCTGGGAACCAAAATGGTCTCGTGTCATCTGAAACCAAACTGCTGGACCCCGCGGGCCCAGGGCTGGGAAACAGCCTTTGGGAGCCCACGGCTGTCCTGGGCCATCACCAGGACACACGGTCTGTCCGGGGAAAGCAGCCAAGGTCCCAGCGCTGGGACCAGCCACCCAGCTAGGGGCTGGGTGGATAGGTCGCTTCCCTGGGACCCTCCCACTGGCACTGCCCTGGGCCAGGGAGGCAAGTTGCTGAAAATTGAGCTGTCCATCCACTCTTGGAACTCCGGAGCCTGTGACGTGGGATGGGGAGGCAGGTGGCTCTCCATCTGTCCCCACCAAGAGCTCTCTGGAAGTAGGGTACAGGCCTCCAGGTTCTAGGGAGCTGGCTGGAGCATGGGGTCCCCTAGTGAGGACATGCCCAGCTGGGCTTTCCCGAGTGCCCAAATACCGTGAGCAGAAGCCCTTCTGGTGAGGGACAGCTCCCCCAGAATGGACACTCCAGCCCAGCATGAGGGGTGGGTGAGCAGGGGCGGGTGAGGGAGGGTCTGTCCTGAGGGTCCTCCCACCCTGGTGTGGGCACTGGTCTCCTTTCCTGGCGCATTAACCACACCTGCCCCTGGCGCATTAACCACACCTGCCCCTCAGCGCTGGCTTTCCTGTGAGGGGCACCAGGTGTGGGGTCTGGGCTGAGCCCCCCACCTCCCTCTTCTCCCTCAGTTCCTTGGGTTCTTCTTCAACCCCCTAAACCTGTGCTCGTGGGTCAAGGATGAGTGGAGCCTCATCTATGAGACGGAGCATGTGAAGTGTTGGATGGACCCCCTGATGAGGTAGGCAGGTGGCTGTGCTGCACCTACTCCCATAGCCTGCATGGGTCCCCTTCCTGCTCACGGGGTCCCACGAGGGGTGAGGTGATTTGAAGAGGCCACAGCTCTGGGTTACAAGAGCGTGCAACCCAGAGACCCAGGCCGATCCCCGCAGCGGGTGGCTGGCTCGCTGCCAGCAGGCCTGCCAGTCATGGGTGGTATCAGGACCATCCCGGTCTGTGGGGTGAGAGCAGCCCCTTCTGCTTCGGAGCCCACCGGTGAGGCAGGCGGCTGGGACCCTGCAGGGACCCTGTGGGGCTCCAGTCCTGCCCAGTCTCTTCCCACAAACCCAGAGGGTGGAGGAGCGGGGCTGGGAGCTCCCTCGGATTTCAGCCTGCATCTCTGCATAGCATCCCCCAGGGCACCACTGCTGGGCCTGTCACCCCAAAGCTGCCTCACAGCCTTTCTCTGCCTCCCGTGACAGGCTCGGGCAAGTGCTAGAATCACGGGTGCAGGCAGAGGGACCAGCACAGTGGNTGGCTAGGCCCTGCCCCTGGCCTCCGAGGAGAGGCTGCTGGGGCCAGGGCGCAGCTGCCCCAGCTGCTGGCCTTCCCACAGGACTGGGGGAGCCGCCTTACCTGCTCGGGGACAGGCAGGTGGGCTGTTTTGGCACGAGGAGACCGTGTAGGTCAGCGGTGTGTGGGAGACCCAGAGGCCCCAGGAAGGTGCCCCCCGTGGGAGGGAGAAGAGGCCGTAGCCCGGGGACCAGAGTGCCCCGGAGCTGTCCCTCCCTACGGGAGAGTCCTCAGGCCCCGCCAGGCTGGACCCGCTGCCTGCCCTCGGCTCCCACCTGTGGCCTGGCACTGCTGGGCCCTGAGACCACCTCTGGGCCGCTGCTCAGCTGGTTCTAG